AATTGGAATTTTTCACACACAAGCCTTGCTATATGAGCTCTCAAAGCATATAAAAATTATACGGCTTAAATGTGAAGTTGGGTGCAAAAGAATACAATTAAATCCTCTGTCGGGAAAAAACGAAATGACTTTCCGAACAACCCTATAGATACTACCTTATGCTTTATTGAAGTACATATAATAAACTTGAACTCTTAATAAACATGAGTATAATAAAAGAAGAATTTTTCAAATCAACATCCCAACACTGTGGGAGAGATGTCCACACGCAGAAAGGAGAGACGCCGCGGTCCTCCTCTTTCTGCAAAAAGAGACGCCGCACCTCCCTATCAAGGTCACCCACCACGAACGTAAGACAACTAGTTGAGAAATATCTAGACAATAACCTCAAAATATTGCTAAAACATTAAGATATTTATAAAATCCACGGGGCTTTGCACAATCGCTTTTGATAGAATATATCGTAAAAGTTTTATCACAAAATTGCTATCTTACTTTTATTGAAGCTACGCTGGAAGCTGTTGTTTTTATTAAAATTAGTCTAGCACCACTAAACCTTCGCTTACAGTGTGTCTAATCGTTACCTTTATATCTGATTGTAAGATCCGCTTTGTTATCTATTAAATACAGCAAATGCGCCGTTTTTTTTAACCCTACATTTACCCTAGTATGCGGAAATTAATTAAACATGTAAGGGCTTAAAGGGAGTCTTAAATTAGAACAAATAGAATACGATAGAGAGTTTAAAAACTTTCTCGGGTCGTTTAGGGTTACCAACTCTCTCGGAATGAGTGACGAAACCTATGATTAACGACATGGACGTTGGTGTGTGCATGATCCATGGTCCCAAAAGGGATAACTACGTATTATTCACAATAAGATAGAAACTATACAGACAGATGTAATTTCTGTCATTCATTGGCTCTTGCGTTGTACCACTTGTTCGATTAATCAAGAAATGCTTTCTACGTAGATATTCATTTCTGTGAAATGAAACTTAAAAATCACCAATCTCCTTTATAAACATTACAATTACTATGATAATACGGGTAATTGAAACTGCTTATCGTTCTTCTAAACATATTTTTTTCAATAACTCGTTTTTGTAAAAGGCGGACGTGGAGATATAAGTATCAATTATTTATTATTATCTCTACAGTGTAGTAGGTATTTGAATAAATAATACGTATGTGACACAATTCAATTACTTTTGAAGTTATCCGTAAAGTAGACGGTGCATTTTTCTTTACAGGCAGGCAGGATGTTACGGAAAAAGTTGTTAAATTTGCGGCATAGGCAGTATATTTACTGTATTTGTGGTATGTACCAAAAAAAACAGAACAAAATAATGTTCGTATTTAATACTTGTGTATTTTTCTAACAAGCAATTGCAACTACGGCCGCCGCATCTATTCATGACTCTTGGTCTTCGACATTTCTGCCTCAAATACGGTCTAAAAATTCGCCAATAGGTGTTATACTGAATACAGTTAAGTAGAACAGTTTTCGTTCCAACGATCAAATAAATTCGATTAAACATGTAAAATATTAGACTTATTAATTTATTTTCTATTTTACCTATAGATTCAATCATCAACTGTTGTAAGTATGAACGGTGTAGGTGGAACATTGGGTAGCATCATCACTATTTGGATAATGGATATTTTTGGAAGGAAAGCCGTTTTAATTGCAGCAGGCAGTTGTAATCTAATTTCTTGGGCGTTGATGTACTTCGCAAATGGGATAGAAATATTATGTATATCCAGAATATTAGGTGGAATAGCTATAGGACTTTCATTGAACGTAAGTTCTTATAGTGAATCATGACTTACCGACAGGTTAGTAAAGTACATCACACATTTCGTATTGGAGCTTCACGATATGACGAGATTCTATAGTATCCTCGATTCTGATAGAATAATTCGTCTACTAATAAACTATTCTTAGAACCCATCGTATGATTATATGGGTTACCGGAGTTACATCAACCATTTTGGGACTAAGACCGCGTGGAGGCATTCAAAATTCAATTCGAAAACCAAAATTAAAAAAAAAACAAATGTGTGGTGGGACACATAGTAGAAGCGAAACTTCCAATTTGTAAAACTTAAAGTAAAAATTTTGTTGCGATTTGTTTTTCCACTTGTACGTTGAAGTTTTACTTCTACTTTGTGTCCCGGCACCCATTTCGTTTTCACAGGTTCACTACAAATTATGATTTGGTTTTTACACAGACCGCAAATGGAGACAATGATGCCCAGCTACGTGGAGAGCAGAGGTAAGAAGGCAACAGCTGAGCACAGCACACGCCGCCGGGACTCTAGCGGACTCCCCGCTTTCCACGCGGCCGCGCATCACATCCGTCTAATACATTACAATTACAAATCGCCTAGCAATTTACCGTCTGCCCTCTCCACGCGGCCGTAACGCTTTTTCGTGACAGAAAAAATCGTAATACCCCATCTATACAGAAGTTTCACATCAAAAACTTAAAATACATTTTTCAAACCGTTATCTTCATTTCATTTCAGCCAACATTCAATATTCATTTACGTAAAGAATTTGTGTTTCTAGTGTGGTACCGTCTACCTCGGTGAAATATCACACAATGACAACAGGGGTCGGCTGAATTTTCTAATGACAATTCTGAGACTTTTTGGAACGGACATAGGCTTCATTATAGGGCCTTACGTGTCCTTTAAAACATTCGCCCTTCTATCAGTAGGCGCCTCGATTATTCCTGTAATAAGTACTTGCATCATACCGGAATCACCGTACCATTTAATCAAAAAAGGAAAAAAAGAAAAGGCCAAAACGGTCATTAAAAAACTGGCCAATGATGCAACTGACGAAAACTCTTTAGAAAAAGAGTTTCAAGACATTAGTTTTTCAGTAGAAAAGGACATGCGAAATAAAGGAACTATTTATGAACTTTTAACCAACAAAATATATAGAAGATCGTTGCTTATACACCTCGGTAAGTAGCCTTTGTTTTTTAAAAATATCATCGATTTAGGATTTGAATACTTGTTAAAGGTTTAAAGATGATCTTTGTGTGTTGTGGTAACGTTGTAATTAAATCGTATATGCAAACTATTATTAAAGCAACAGGAAGTAGTATGTCTTCAAACACTGCGAGTGTTATCTTTGGAATCATCAGTTTTATTAGCGGTAAATATTTTCGGATAATTTTAACAACCATTTAAAAAAATTAATACGAATACTTTTTCAGCTATTACATCCGGACAACTTATTGATCGTTTTGGCAGAAGACCCTTACTCATGGTTTCCAGTTTGTTGTGTTCTATAAGCATGTTCTGTTTAGGATTGTATTTTTATCTTCAAAACGCCACTTCTTTTAATATTGATTCAATTTCCTGGTTACCGGTTACCAGTTTGATGCTGTTTGAAGTGTTCGTTGCGATTGGAATTCTTTCCATACATTACGTGATCGCCGCAGAATTGTATCCAATCAATATAAAGGGAGTCGCCGTATCCGCACTTGCGTTTTTGGCACAAGCCTTGGCCATGGCTCTTCAATTTTCATTTGAGCCCCTCAGCGAAATTTTGGGAGAGTATACTTGCTTGTGGTTCTTCAGTGTTTGCTGCTTGCTAGGATTCCTCTTCGGACTCTTCATACTCCCGGAGACAAAAGGAAAATCATTTGATGAAATTCAAAGGATATTTAATCGACGCAAAAGCGAAAAAATTATACGTAGTAAAAATGAAGAAGCCGGAAGATTCTAAGCAGTCGGGAGTCAGTCGATACAGATCGATAACCAGAATATAAACGAGGAGTTGTTTAAACACCTATTTAAGCTATTATCTACTAAAGCAAAAGACTGTTTTTAAGATCCATTTGAATAAATAAATAGGTTACCAGAAAATTGTTTACAAAAATATAACTACTCAGTGGTGGTAATTGTAATCAATAGTTATTTAAACTAATAAGGCATCAATTTATGTTAATTTATATATTAAAGACTGACGCTGCTTATACCTTTCAGCTGAAACGGGTTATTTATATACAACCCAAACATCGTTGTATCCTAGATATACTAAAAATTGTTAACAATACTGTCATTTTGTTGAGATTTTTTCATTATAATCGCTTCATATTGAACGAGAACGAGATGATTTTTAAAATATTCCGGCATGGTGTAGCAGAGACTTTTATTTTTATAATAAATGATAATGTGTTTCATCTATTTAATTAATGCGTCGCTAATTTTTATATTAAATTTACATCTATTCAGTCCTACCAGCTTTACATAGCAATCCAGAGGGGTTCCCCTCGAGAGTTACAACTTTGCGATGTAGGGTCCGGAAATGACTTAAACAACAAATGAGTAAACAAAGTAGAACCCTTAAGAATACTTTAGATAGTATAGAAAAAGTTACGAGGGGGCGCTGTCGCGTTTGGGGCCACCCTTGAAATAACCAGCACAGTCATAGAAGTGATACACATATGCAATATTGACAGTTTGTAAAAGTGGAAGCTATCCCAACAATGTGAAATAGATAGTGTCTGGTATTCTATATCCTTCAAGCCCTTAGCTTTGTTCTGCGCATATAGGAAAATATGGATTTCTCAAGCATGTACAGCATGAACAAGGCCTAGCCGAGGAGAGAGAGAGCATATATATACAGTCGGCATCGTAATAGCAGATCACTCTTTCCTATACTAATTGTCCATACAAATGTGTTACATATGTGATAGAATACCACCGATATTACCGATCGATATGGTCAAAAGGTTTATACCATTACTTATCATTCCGGAGGACACTGGTTCAGTCACTTAGGAAAATTATGGGTCAGTAATATATCCCACTAATACTAACCAAATCTCCGAATATTATACAGTATTAATTGCCCAGAAGTTGCATTCCCACCAGCCAGTAATGCTGGTGTGCGGGCAGGCCCCCCAGACTATTCCAGAAGACCCTCTTCAGACTCCTTCCAGGAGCCGTGGGAATGAGTGGGTGGTGGGTCGGGTGGGAAAGATGAGACGGACGAAATGAAGACAGAAGAGAATGAAAGATTATCTGTGGAATATTACTGCCTCAGCAATCACCTAAGTGATCTAAGGAAACCACAGAGGAACTTGGATCAAGGCAACCAGACCCGAAATCGAACCACCGTCCTCCCGAATGTTGAGCAATGGTCTAAACCTCTAGGCCATGCCGCTCGATAGCGGAAGGCCCTCTTCAGCCTCCTATCAGGAATCGTGGGAATGGGTGGGTGGTGGTTCGGGTGAGAAAATTGAGACGGACGAAATGAAGACAGAAAAGAATGAAAGATTATCTGTGGAATATTACTGCCTCAGCAATTACCTAAGTGATCTAAAGAAACCACAGAAAAACTTGGATCATGGCAACCGGATTCGGAATCGAACGACCGTCCTCCCGAATGCTGAGCAATGGTCTAAACCTCTAGGCCATGCCGCTCGATAGCGGAAGGCCCTCTTCAGCCTCCTATCAGGAATCGTGGGAATGGGTGGGTGGTGGTTCGGGTGAGAAAATTGAGACGGACGAAATGAAGACAGAAAAGAATGAAAGATTATCTGTGGAATATTACTGCCTCAGCAATTGCCTAAGTGATCCAAGGAAACATAAGATAAGT